GGAACTGAAATTTTGCATGAGGAAATAACTCGTATCTCAAAGAAGAGAAATTGCATTGTTTGCTGAATATCGACATAGCCGTCGCTCTATTCCCGGAAACCTGACCCAGCGTGTCTTCAGTTTCTAAGAAATTCAGTAATTTAATCGTGGCCGGTCTTGGTTGTAGTTTAAATAACATTTAGTTGAATTACACACATGATTTTGCGCGCTTTGTGGAAGCTTCTAAAGACATCATTCAGTGTAGCCTAAGTATGTAGAATTTCAAGGCAGGAAGCATACTGTATGCAGAGTTTTTATCTCTATATTGCCAGGTTGAAATGTTTGAAACCCTACTTTCTATAGTAGATCGCTGAGGCGAGAAATTTCGCGACACGAATTTCCCATTCGCCTTTATCATTAATTTTGTTTATTATCTTAGCTTTTGCTCAGTTCGTTGACGACAGAGGGAATATGGAAATTTACTTACATGGGGGATTAGTATGATAAGGAGTGGAAGATAATTCTAGAATGTTCAGTTGTGTCGAAATTCAGACAGCAGTTATCAAAACCGGGAGTTACATTTCGGTAGGAACTATGCCATCATCACACTAGAACATATGCATACAAGGTAGCTCTTAAATAATAACAATGAAGAAACGAAACAAAAAGTAATACTCATGAGAAAAAGGTTCTCTGCTGGATTTGAGTCCTGTGTTGAGGTTTGATGTAGTATGCCTCTTTGTATAGGGGAAGATTAGCTAAGATTCCAATTGCTGTCGCAATCTAAAATTGTGGCGTTGTGCCTAACTGTCATTAGCCTGAACGACACAAAGTAAACCGAGTATGATAATCAGCGCGACGATTATCACGTTATATTGTTATGGATCCGGAGCTGAAACTCGACGATAATAATTATATCCAGCATCCTCACTTTTATGTCTAACATATACTGCAGAGGGTTACAACTAAATGTGTTGAGAGACTACTCAAATCTTAAGTACATATGGAATTGAATACAACTCTGAAGCACACTTGAGGGTTTATAGATCTTTTCTTTGATTACATCATGCTAGTTCATTGCTTTTATGTATGGGCCTTATTAGCCTTGATATATAAGAAGACCATTTGTTTTGATTTTAACTAAAATAACTGTGACTCTGAAATAAAGCCAAAATAGTATAAACCTTTTCTCATCGTGAAAAACGACTACTTAGCTAATAAAAGGTCTAAATTTTATGATCGGTGACCTAAGTCTCGAATTTGTATGTAGCAAATCCCGTTGATCTAAGCACAGTGTCATAAACTGTCTGGATTTGGACAAAAGTCAAAAATCTAAACTGATCATTGTCAAAATATCCAGATCTCAATGACAGACAAGGCCCATTAGATAACATAACTTTTTTGTTCTCTTGTTTATCGATTTGTCTTGCAGGAACATGAGTGAGGATAAAGTCCTCGAGGTGCCATGTTTTGGGCAATCATTTCAGTTGGGGA